CGGCTCATAGCTTTTTTCACTCACTGAACATTATACTCCTGGTAATTAATGCAAATCTTAAACACCTTTTGGCACATTTGCAACAATAATTAAGCATGGCTCAGAATATTGATTTTTACTCTCATTTGTTTCATATGTCTAGACACGGATAATCAGAGAATACCCAGCAGAGCTAGTGGTAGTACTCATTCGCATTGCGTTGACTTCTATATTATCTATTCCCGCTGCACTGATTTCAGAAAAGGATCCAAAGACTGGGATTTAATATGGAGTTGGTAGCTATTGGATGTTCAGTAAGAACAGTGACCAATTGACCATGATAGAAACTATTTCCTATATTAACACGATTCTTCTTTTTCTGACTTTGAAGTTTGAATTAACTTGATTTGCTTGTGAATGCAGGCAATTTTGGTCTTAGCCTTTAGAGGTGTTATCCATACATGGGCCACGAGGAAGAAGGGCCCTGTGTATGTAGCAATGTTTAACCCACTTGCAATAGTTTTTGCAGTGATCTTGGGGATTGCTTTTCTTGGGGACTCTCTCTATATTGGAAGGTATAAATGAATCAAGGCCTTGTTAGTAAAGTGAACATTATGTCAACATGTTTAATTTAAAACATGTTTTTTTGGGGTCCAAGAAGGAATATAATTACAAGGGTCTGAATTTATCTGCAGTGTGATTGGAGCAGCCACAGTAGTTATTGGCTTCTATGCTGTTATTTGGGGGAAAGCTCAAGAGAAAGTGGAGGAAGATTCTACAGTATGCAATAGTGAATCATGTCCTTCTGGTGTCCCTCTTCTGCAGAACAAGAGAATGGGGGAATAAGAAGCCTGGGAAATGATATAACCACAAATTTATATATTATTGCTCTCTCCTCTGAATTTGTCACGGGGGACTTTTTAATACGGATTTTTGTGAATTAGATTCAATCATTTTAAATAAAATGATTTTGGATTTATCATAAAAGCATACTTAGTTTGATTTATATTGACTTGAATAGAATTAGTTGATTTAATTTATAATTTTATTTTAATTTAGTTAGAATGTGATAAATTATTTATTTTATTGTTTTTTAAATTGTTTTTTTGTATAAAAACAAAAAATTTATATACACAAGCACAATTGTAAATTAAGTATATTTAATTGAAAATAGCAACTCAGTACAACCTCTTTATGTGTATTTGGATTCCGGAGATTATGGACCAAAGCCAGTGGATGATATTTGTTTTAGAGATAGTTGTGTGTCAGAAACAATCATTTTCATGCATGTCTCTTCCAGCGTTGTAGCATTTAGGGAGGGTGTGAAAACAGAGCTGAATTAAATGTTTATTTAATAATTTTTTAAATGATATTAATTTATATTCTATTTCAAATATATTTATAATATTAAATAATTAAATTATTGCGTTATATATTAAATAAATAATCGTTAACATAAATTTTGAATAAAAAATTAAAAAATATTAAATAATTGACACATATAAAATACTTTTATTTTTTATATTTGAAATTAAAAAAAAATTCACGAATAAACTTACAAATTTTAGACTTAATTTATATTTTTTATTTAACTTCGTCAATAAATTAATAAATTATAAGTTAAATTTTTGGCTCAAATATTTAGAATGATACTAACCTAAAAGATCTGACTCACCATTAAAAAAATATTAATACTCATTTAGCTTTACATAATTTTCTTGGTTAATCATTAAAACTTATTTATGGTCATTATTACAGGATGGGAAATAATAGATTGGAAAACTAATAGCACTCGGGGCAAGTCCATTGGCACATTGGTCTCAATCACTGGCACAAAGGCCAGCCACTCCTAAATAACATCCATCTTTGAAATTCTTGCCTGAAAAGCTTGTTTCATTTATGCAATTTGACTGGGTAACAGGGGCAGGGTTGCTTGCAGCTCATAGGTGTATCAATCACTTTTGCCTTATTTACAAACCAACAAAACAACGGTTGAAGGTGGAGTGTAATTTTAATTATTAGTTAAAATTTATTAAACTTATAAAAATATAAAAAAAATTCAATTAGGAATGAAAAAGTGTATTTGAATTAAAAAATATATATATATATTAAAAGAGTGTATTAATAGCATTTTTCATGTTTTAAAATATTAATTTTGCTTTTACTTACTTTCATAGTTCTAGACATAGGTAATCAGGCAGTACCCTGCAGAACTTGTGATGATGCTCATTTGCAGCATAATAGTCTCTCTATATCATCTGTTCCGGCTTCATTGATTTCAGGAAAAGGAAGCAAAAGCTTTGACTCTAGGATTTAATGTGCAATTGATAGCTATTGAATGCTGAGTAAGAATATGACCTATACCACCATTATTGTTCTTGCTTTGTATTCGAATTAACTTGATCTGCTTCTGAATCAATGCAGTTTTCAGTGTATCATTACGAAGTATTATTGTTCATGGGAAAGAAAGGCCCTGTGTATGCAGCAGTGTTTAAGCCACTTGAAATAGTCTTTGCAGTGATCATGGGTATTACGTTTATTGGGGACTATCTATATCTTGGAAGGTATTATCACCATTTTTTGCGAAAAAATAAAAATATATTATAGCATGAATTAATTTTTAATTACTTTTATATTTTATTTATCGTAAAGTTTAAATCCATATAATATTCACTCATTCTTCGTACAAATTAATAAATTTATTCATTTAATATATTAATTATCAAATTATCATTTATTATTATAAATATTTTCAAACATACTATAATTTATAATATATAACTACTTTTTATTAATTTTAATAATTTAATTATTTTCTTCTTATGAAAATAAGCGAGTGAGTATAAATATATTCCATGGGTCTAAATCAATTGAAAGATTTGAGGCGTGTCAACTTATGGTTTTCTGAAGTGAATGAATGCAATTTAAAAATATCTTTTGGGTCTAAGAAAGATTATGATTATGACTTATGAGGGTCTAATAACTTGGCATCGTATTCGCCGAAGAAGAGAATGGCGGAATAGAATCTTCAAAAAAGTATTAGTAAGTATCAGCTTATTTTTTCAAAAAATAAAAGTATAAAAAATTAATTAAAAATTTATGTTGTAAGAGGCTTTTAAAATTAAGTAAAACAATGGAAGACAACAAAGCAATCTAATATACAAATTTGAGTAAAAATTAATCCAAAAACATGTACAGAAATATGTAGTATTATTGAGTGTTTGCATAATTTGATATTATCTTAATTCTACGTAATCATATTTTTTTATTTTGATACCTAACTTGAAATAAAGATACACTGTTTTAACGAAAAATAAGCATTATAAAATAATTTTAAAGTGTGTTTTCAACAAAATGCAATGTTACTAAATATGTAATTATTATTATCTATCTTTAGTGGCAGTAAAAAATGTAATCACAGTATGTATGATATATACTTTTTGCATAGAATCGTGGCTCATTGTATTAAAAATTACATATGTATCTCTAATTTTATATATTAATTTTTTTGCGTGTTAACATTTTTTAAAAATTATTCGCACTTTTCTTATTTTTACATGCAAATCATATACATAATAAACTTAAAACTAAAAACAAGATTTAAATATAATTATGGCTAACTTGGGAAAATGGTTGGTGGAATTATGTGTTGACTATTCAACAAGGGTAGTATAAATATGGCGGCGCATAAAGTGAGTGGTCAACCGTTGGATATAATAATTTTTATTGAATGAATGAGATTCATTACATGCTACCTGCAAAATAGGTTACGAAATTTAATTTTCTTAAATTGCATTAAGGTTCCTATTGCTAAGTGCTTTGTGATTTGTCACACCATTTAGCAAAGCATTTCCTCTATAACCCTCCAACCAGCACTTGCTTCTTGGATTTCAGTTTACGGTAATAAATTTTTTGACATTACTTATTAAAAGAAATTATTTTTAGCTTTTATTGTTAAATTTATAATATAAATCATCCATTTAAAAAAAATATTGAATAGTATTTAAATAAATAATTATTTAAACTCACTTTCAGTTTGTAGACCTGTTGATCTATAGCATACAAAGGAAACCTCCGTTTCACCATGTTCACTGGACTACTTACAAATAGAGCTTCTTGGAAGTAAGTTTTTCTAATTTATCCAACCAAGATTTAAACAAGTGGCTAGTCTTACATTTGAGAAGCTTTTATCTTTAGAAGAGCGTTGGCTTTCGCTGGTGTTCTTGTTAAGGATGTTACACATGAGTCATTAATATGACGATGATAAGAGACATGATATTTGTAAATGAACTATCACCATTTTTTTTAACAAAATAAGGAGAGATAGGCAGAGAGGAAAAAAAAGGAAAGAATGATAAAGGAGTGACGACAAATTGAAATACACTGTCAGATGTGTTTTTAGTGTTGTTTTTTAATTAAAAATAAAAAATTTATTTCGATCATTTATACTAATATTAAATATTTTATAAAAATCAAAATTTAATTTTAATTAATAAACAATATTTAAAAAATTTATATTTACTAACAAACATGAAGATTAATTGGTGAAAATTATTTTTGTATAACCTTGAATTTAAGTCCTGTAATAAATAGTTTTAAAATTTTTTATCTTGTATGCTTACAAATCTTCTTAATTATTATTTTTAAAAATTTTAAGATAATAACGATACATAATTTTTTATTTAATATTTATTTTTAAAAAAGTAGAAAAATTATTATATGCACATAGAAACAACAAAATTAATATATATATATATATATATATATATATATATATATATATATATAAATAAGGCCGATGATAAAAGACAATCGAGGATGAGACAGGCATTAGGAGACGGCAAAGTTTAGAGCAAATGAGCACTGCCCTTATTACAATCTTAACAAAATTAAAATTTCAACATGCAGAGGACTGAAAATTAATAAAAGAAAACATAGGAAACCTGCTATAACAAGTTAAATAGGTCTCTAGTGATTCACCATCCCTGCTATAAAATATTGAAAATAATGTGTGGGGAACAATAAGAAGATGGAAACATGAAGAGTGGGGATGAGTGGCATGTGATAATTGACACACTACTGAACTGAAATGGGGAACTTGACACTTCCTTTTGTGGGAATGATAATGGCGGAGTTTGCTCAAGTTGGATTAATCATATTGAGCAAACAAGCCATGGCTGAAGGAATGAACAATTTCATCTTAATCTTCTATTCCAACGCAATTGCTGCTCTCCTCCTTCTTCCTACTTCCTTCCTTCACCACAGGTAGGTGCATAACTTTATTACCTTTTCTCTTTAAAGTTTAGAACTTGATCACCCCCTATCAGTGATTCCATAATTGGGTTGTACGATACAATTCTTGGCAGATTTCAACGTCCTCCAATCACCCTTTCTACCCTCTGTGGATTCTTCTTACTAGGACTACTTGGGCAAGTTCCAAAATTCTTCCTTTTACATATAATACAAATTCAAAGGCTTTTGGGCAATTTTGCTCATAAATTTCCAATTTTTTTATGGTGGACTCTGTGTAATTGTGGATTCTAATACCGGAAATGTGTTTTTTTTTTTTTAGTTTGTTTTCAGTTATTTGGCGCAGGTTTTTGGCTATGCTGGGATTTACTATGGCTCAGCGACGCTCAGCACAGCCATGCTCAACCTTGTACCTGGTTTTACTTTCGTACTTGCTGTTATTTTTAGGTTGTTCCCATGTCCTTTTTGTTGTTGCTAATGCCTTTCTTTATTAAGTATGTTCTGCATTAATTATAACTTCATTAATACACTTAGCACAACTATTATGGATTTCATATATGGTGAGGTACATAAAACTAACTATTAAGTGTTTGCAGTCTCGGAATTTCATTTCTAGCTTTATTTGAAAAAAAGATGTTCCCCTCAGCAAAATTGTTGTTCCAGCTGACCTAGAACTATCCTACTGACATTGCACTCTTGCTGGTGGCCCTCATCCTATATAGTGATGAATACAAAGGAAATTTGGGCTTATGGAACCTTCTAGTTTTGGTCTAAAAGTTGGGTAAATTAGGTGCTTAACAGATAGTATTACGTTAATGAATAATAACTCCATGCCTTATGATGACTTTTATTCTGTGGTGCATTTTGTTAATGAATATCGAATGATAACTCCATCCTTATGGTGGCTTTTCTTCTGTAATCGTTCATGTTAAATTACAATCGATCTTGAGTGACAGCTATACAGTAGTTCCTTATCACACTAATATTTCCCCATCTGTTTTTACTCTTATGAGTTCTTACGGTTCAGTTGATGCATATACTGTAATTTGTAATGGATAGCTGGCAAATAAAATATAAAACTCTCCATCATTTGCCTGTTATCTGGCTTTGCAATGAAGTCAAATTAATTATGTTGTTTCACTTTGAAGAGATTTTACCTAATTAAAAACGATAATCTCGAGACAAGTTTTGTATTGAGCCCATTATAATGTTAAACTGATTTGGTCTGAGTTCTCTTGCTACCACTTTTGTTAACCAACACATCTAAACAACATCAATTGTGAAGACATTTGAACTTGACCCATAATTCTGGCATTACTTAAAAAATCTCAATGCATAAGATTAAGTTGATACATGATAGAAACAACAATCAAATAGTAATAACAACAATCTGCAATATTCGGAATGAAGTGAAAACACTGTATTAATCTCACTATAAGATGAAGTAAGATATACAAGGGTATCATCGATACATATCTTGTGTGGTCAATGAACGAAAAAATTACACACCATGGGCTAATTGTTGACATTCATAAAGATTGAGGTTTAAATTAGTCTTAAATGTTTAATCAAACACTGAAAGTTATACCTATAGGGTAGATATGTCTATGAGATTATGTTGTTGTCTTTATTTTCATAAAAATGATACAACTATAGATTGACAGTTAATCTAATCTTGTCTTGAAAATGAAATTATCCCATTTTGGAGTTTGGACCATAGTTACCAAACTCTCTCAATGACACTGCATGCCGCATACTGAATTTATCGTACCACATACCAGGCACCAGTTCTTGTTAAAGGATGTCTTATAATGTAAAATGTGATGAACTTCATACCTACACGAACCACGCACCTGTACCTGTACCATGTATTTGTAAACTACGGTTTGGGCACCTGATGCCAACACAATAACATTGTGATTCTGCAGTTGTATAAACATATATCAAGATCGCATAATGAATTTAGTTGGGCTGATGAATTGGAATATTTTACATTTTTTTTTAAATTTAAAGTAACCCCTCTGGGTTTTGAAAGCTTTTGTATTGTTTGTGTGTGTGTGTTTCATATAAAAGGCTCACCAACTATGAACTTTATGTAATTATAGAGCAAAAGATGACATACTTGTTCTCTCTATCCATTCATTTACTGCTAAAGGTCTATCTAAACTAATCCCACTTTCTGGTTGCAGAATGGAACAATTAGATTGGAGAAAATTTAGCAGCCTAGCTAAATCATTGGGAACGATAGTATCAATTGCTGGTGCATTCATTGTGACTTTGTACCAGGGCCCTGCACTTTTGATGGGAATTTCATCGGCAACCTCATCTCAGCAGCCACTTTCCTCACAAGATTCTAATTGGATACTAGGAGGATTATTTTTTGCAGTTGATTGTGTAATGGCTTCAGCATATATTATTGTACAGGTGAATTTGTCATAGTAGTAATAGAGCTTTCATAATTTTTGATTTCTACTCCTGTGGTGCAAGTTCTCTATAATTTGTTAATTATAATTTATAATCTATTATGTTTCAGGCTTCTATTCTTAAGAAATATCCAGCAGAGTTTATTGTTGTCTTCTTTTATTTTTTCTTTGTGATGATTCTATCTGCCGTGACCTGTTTGGTTGTGGTAAGAGACATCAGTGCTTGGAGCTTGGAACCTAGGCTAAGGTTGCTTGCAGTATTATACTCGGTAATAAAAAAATATAAGCTGACCACATTAAAGTACCACTATTAACTACTGCATTAGCTTCACCCTGAAACTATGTATTTATATACAGGGAGTCTTTGGCTCTGCATTCCAAGTTGGTGTTACTTCTTGGTGTTTGCACCAGACAGGACCTGTTTTTGTTTCCATGTTCAAGCCCTTAGGAATTGTAATATCGGTGGTTTTAGGTGTTGTCTTCCTTGGGGATCCATTCTATCTTGGAAGGTAGGTTGTGTAGCATGTAGATTGTGTTTTATTGTCAATTGAGTTTATTAGTGTGTTTGGTTTCATGTTAGAAAACATATGGATCCACATGTACTTCAGCATACTAGTTGTAACTTCTTCGTTGGATCCACAGGCTTTCTAATATGTTTTCAAACACACTATTAATTCATCCAACATGAATCATTGTTTGTTTCTTTAAATGCAGTCTAGTTGGTGCTACTGTGATTGTTGTTGGGTTTTATTCTGTATTATGGGGTAAAGCCAAAGACATTGAGGATGTTGTAGTGAGAAGCTTGGTATCAAAGGGCAAACAGACTCCTCTTTTGAAGGAAAACAGCCATGAAGACATACAAGGGTGTTAGTTCATTTTAAAAGGATGCTACGATTCTGCCAGCAAATTGGCAGTTTCAATTGTTAAGGGTGTCTCTGCTCTTACTCAGAATAAGATATGTAAATGCACAAGAGATTGAAGAAAAGTGTCATAAATTGTAATAATTATCGTGTAGTTTTTTATTGACTAAGTTGTTATTCATGTGCTTTGGCTTTCATTTTAGAAGACAGTTTGATGATGCCATTTCCATCATGCCCTAAATGTTACTCTTATCATTTTGACTTTAGTATGGATGAACTTCATTATGCTATAAATGTTGCTCCTATCATTTTGACTTTATTATGGATGAACTTCATTATTAGAAGGGAGTATAATAAAGAGCGAGTGTTTGCTTAGGTGTGTAGATCATGATTGATCCAATTATCTACTAGCTCAAAAGGGAAAAAATAGTTATATTCTAAGCATGCTAAAAAGACAGTGGTTTTAGAATTTGAATTCAAAATGAGACAAACATATTTAAATTAATCTAAAATTAATAAACTTAGAAACATATTAAAATAGTAAGATGTATTTCTAAAAAAGTTAAGATGTAACTTTGAGAGCAAAATTGTGAAAAAATATGAAGTGTTGTAATTTCATAAATATATAATCATATAAGCACAAGAAAGAAGTTAATTCATAAATGAAATTATACACACACATACACAAGAAAGAAGTTAATTCGTAAATGAAATTATACAGACATACATAAGTTTGATTTATTTTGGATATGAAATATTATCTAATTCAATAATAAAATTTAATTTTTGTAGTTTTTATTTTTAAAATTTTTAAATAATTAAATTTTTTATTTTAATATTTATATTATATAAGATTGGTTCATAAACATATCAGTTTAGCAAATAAGAGATTAATTGGGCACGCGAACTAAAACATTTCTTATAAAAGCACACCGACCATTATCATTATTCCTCCCTATTTTTTAACAATGTCAATTTGATCTTTTCCATTTTTCTCTTTCCTACATCAAGCGTAAGAAATTCGCCAATTTCCTGATTCAAATAAATAAATAAATAAAAAGTCTGAGGTTATTTGAGAACAAGTTCGAACTTGCAATGGCCAATGAGGAAGCAAAGAAAGTCAATTTTATTAGTCCATCCTACTAATTCCATTCATGTAAAGTTATATAAATGGTTTGTTTGGCACAAGAAGAAACTTATAAGTGCATTATACTATTCCATTCATCGCTGCGTATGTTGTTTCCAAACGAAGTATTATGTGCATTTATTTTTCTTTTTTAGACCGAATGATATAAATATTATCTGTTCCTTGTTAGTAGATAAGCAATATGATGCATTTTCTTTATTTAAACTCCCATTCCCAATAACCCAATTTTATACTCATTGACCACTTTTAAAAAAATAAAATTCAAATCTTTAGTGCTACCACATTGTGGATAATAGTGAATAAAATGTTTCTGTGAGGGCCTCCATTACTCCAGACTAAAATTTCTGTCTTCAATTAAAAAAGAAGAAGAGAAATTCAATAAAAATAAAATAAATTCAGTCCTCTCCTAAAACAGAAATTTTCCTTTCTTTTTGGTTTTTGGGTCAATAGCAACCTTTCTATTTTTTGGTCAACAGCAACCTTTCAAATTGTGAGGGACCAACAGTAACTATGCTATGGGCTGAGTTTGTTAGTTTCCTTTAACATTCTATTGACTGTGTCAGCCTGATTACATATTCGGCTTCAGGCCCACCAACAAGACAAGTGCATAAGAAGTGACTATAAGTCTATAATGATCTTGTGTTGACCAAATAAAAAAAAATAAAAAAACACACTGTGTTTGATTCAACTCGATTTTGACAAACTGGGAAGATTCACACAAAAATTCCACAGAATAATATTTTCTTCAGATTCTAATTAGGTCTTTCTTAATCATACGCAAATGGGTAGGTTATATCAATATCAATTAAAAAAATCCTCTAATGGTAGGGCCACAGAAGATGTGTGCCACTAATGCATTCGCTAACATACTAGAAAGCCTTCACCTATTGGCTATTCATATATTATACCTTGGTTAATTAACTTCATAAGATTGGCTATAATATGCCAAAGAGTATTCAACATTAACCCATGGTTAAGTAAAAAATGACAAATTAAGACCAAAAAAGAAAAGTGGACAAATAAACAGGGAACGGGTACACAAGATGTCAAGATACACCCAAAAAAGAAAACAGTTGCAATAATTTAAAACTCCATGAGACGTCATCTTGGGTCCCTTGTTCAAGAGCTTGGGACACCCGAGTTGCAACTTCTCCTCCAAAGTAGCTTCCCCTTTTTGTGAAGGGTTACACTGACACACTTGCATGGCCCCCATATACTCTCTTTCATTTCTCTTTGCTTCTTTATATTTAGAGCATAAACAAGTTCTTCAATTCCAACCCAAAGAAGAGAGGGTGAAGTGGGTGGTGCTTGTGCAAGCTCTAATTAATTGGGGTGCCACACACACACATAGATACAAAGCATATACTCAAACTCTCTCTCTCTTTCTCTCTAAAGCTATAAATATAATAAAGAAGAGATTGCTATTTATATACCACCATTAACATATTAGTACTTTGTAAGTGAGAGCAAAAGAAGGAAAAAGCAATGGAGGCTAAGACTATGATGTTTGAAGTGCTACCATTCATAGTCATGGTGATTATGGAAGGGTGCGCCATAGAACTAACCATTTTTGCAAAAACTGCAATAACTAATGGAATGAGCCCATTTGTGTTCATTGTTTATACAAATGCTCTGGCCACTATAATACTGTTTCCTTGTTCCTTTTTATTACACCAAGAGGACAGGTCTCTGTCTTCCTCTTTTCTTCTCTTTTTGTGTGTTCATATGTTGTACCTAGCTATAGCTACCTGCGTGAAATTGTTTGCATGGAGGATTTGTTTTGGTTCTGATCTTCAAAATCATCTCTTCTGTACAGAAAGGAGAGGCCACGTTTTACTCTCTCGTTGTTTATGCGATTTTTGCTCCTTGGTTTTACAGGGTACATATACTCTCTCCTCTCTTTCTCTCCCTGTTGAGGGCCTTCGAATAATAATTGAATCAAAATTGTAACCCATTTTTATGTCCTTCAAACATAGTAGGCCTCATAGTTCAAGATTCTATTGATTGCTACTTGCTAGGCCTATCAAGTGTTGAAGTTGGTAAATAGCTAAATAATGGTAGTATTCATATCTGTAACTTTCTTTTACATCGATGGATTTTGCAGGATAACCATGACTCAGACCTTTTTATTCCTGGGTCTAAGCTATAGTTCGCCAATACTTGTATGTGCCATGGGCCACTTGATCCCAACATTTAATTTTCTGATCTCTCTCGTTCTCAGGTTCCTCAAAACTTTCAGTGATTCCCTTGTTTATATTTCTTCATTTTGACCATCATGTCCATTTTTCATGTATTGTTGGGAGGGATCCACAAAACATGCAAGAGATGAGGGAAAAGTAAATAAATTTATTTTTAGTCTCTCTGTAAAATTATTAAAATTAAAATTAAATATTTAATTAAATTTTATTCATTTTTCATCTTTACAAAATAAAAAAAAAACATATATATTTTCCTAATTAAGAACTAAATATTATTACTTATGTTAAATATTAAAGTTAAAAATAAATAAAATTTCATCAAAAACTAAAATATAATTTTAATATTATTTTACAGAGACTAAAAATATATTTAACTATAAATTTTAACATACATAAATTATATTAGTAAATTACAAGATTCTAAAATTTTTATATATAAAAATTTCAGAATCTACATATACATTTAACAGAATTGGGGGGGGGGGGGGGGGGGGGGCAGGGTCCACATGTAACTACTCCTCTAGATCCGTCTCTGGCCATGTATTTAATTTGTACTGTTATTTTCAGGAAGACAGAGTGGAAATTGAGAAGCCCTGCTACCCTAGTCAAAATGATTGGTATGATTGTATCGATAATGGGAGCAGTGCTAGTTGAATTTTTCAAAGGACCACTAATAAGACCCTCTTCTCACCACCTTCGACACACTAAGCAACTTTTTGTCTTCTCCTCAGCGCCAGAGTTTTGGGTTCTTGGTGGCATTTTGCTTGCTGCAGCTTCCTTCTCAGTTGCAATTTGGAACTTCATTCAAGTACCTTTTTTTAACCCCTTTTCATATTTCTTCCTATGATTAAAATCAATTTCTCCTTTTGAATCTTTGTGGTGATTCAAGTTTGTCCTTTTTATTCACACTATTAGAAAGAAACTGTTCAGCAATATCCAGAACCAATGAAGGTGGTTTCTTATTATAGCTTACTTGGGACTATCCTTAGTGCAATGGTCTCATGTATAGTGGAGAGGGACACAAATGCTTGGAAGTTAAAATGTAACATGGAGCTCATTCTTGTTGTTATGACTGTAAGTACTAAGTATCGACATTCTTTAATATCGATTAATGTATATAATAAATGAATCAATAATCTATAAGTTTTTATTATATACTTCTAGACAAATATTAAAAAAATTCTTATGATCAAATAATGGCAAAACATACATATGCTGATTAGAAATATGTAACACTGTAGGCATTAATTGGGGGTGTGATTCGTCCCAGTATTCAAGTTTGGTTCAGTCGAATGAAGGGTCCACTTTATGTGACACTTTTCAAACCCTTTGGTATTGCCTTTGCCACTACTTTTGGAGTTTGCTTCTTTCCCAACAGTCTTCATTATGGAAGGTACTTAGATTCTGTTTCACTTGTTGATCATAAATAGATTTTTCGTATATCATATTTTTTGGAGTAATTATTATTCCTGCAAATTTTGGTTCTCTTGATATGTTCATATCTCGTATATAATGTTATTTTTATTTACAAAATAAAAAATGTGCAGTGTGATTGGAGCAACTATAATTGGAATGGGGTATTATACACTAATGTATGGACAAATCAAAGGAGATGAAGAGAAAAGCTGTGACGAAAGCACAGATTCTTTGGACACTAAGATTCCTCTTTTGCAAGAAAAGATTGAAGTGTAAATAAAGTTTCAAAAATCATTGAAGCAGAAGAATTAACTTATTTTTCAGAATCTTTCTCTTCCAAATTGATTGTGATATAATTCTCTTCCATGATAATAATACTTTAATTATAATCAACTGAAACTTTGTATAAATCATTAGAAGCATACCAAAAAAAAGAAAAGAAAAAAGGGTGGAATTTGAGATTTTTTATTTTTTGTAAGAAGAAATTCTAAACTGTATACATGATACATGTATCTTGTTGCTGTGTTGTTATTTAATCCACAAATTTATTGTGGTAAGATTCAAATATCCAATCATAAGTCATAGTTAAAAAAGAACCATTAAATCTGCCACTGCCACAAATTCATTTGAAAAATCATGCACAGTATGAGTGTTTGGCGATGGAAACATCAAATCAGTACACGCTTTGCTTTCCTTGATACAATTGTGACGAACTTTCTTTCGGTCGGGCAATAATAGCCAAAATTAATCTTTCCAACAAAAATTTTAAATGTAAATTACAATATATGACGTTTTCATATCAAAATAGAAGTTTTATAAAACCCAAATTATCAACGCCAACAATACTCAGACTAAAATATGGATTTAATTAAAAGAATCATATGTCTGCGAGTGATCAGGAGCATACGTTGCGTATAAAATTTGTCTAGATCAATTTATTTAATAATCAATGCATTAGTTTTTCTAAATCTTTATTTATAGTACACTTATTTTTTATATTTTAATTACGAAGTGTAAATTGTTTATTAACTTAACCTGTACAGGTTTTTGTTCATGAATTTGCAACAAACATTAGACGAAATTCGTCAGTCTCACACTTGATATAACCGCGGGAATTGATGTCAGCCATTTACCGGCGAGTGTCTCTTTCATTTGCTGATGGAGGAAGATAATTTATACAATTTTTTATACCGCTCACCAAACAAAGTCCATTTGGATTACAATTTCACGTCACAATCTACTGGTATTTTTCTAACTCGTATGTGCAACACCAAAGGTTGTTAAATTGTTAAAATGCTATCTTCTCATCCTGGATGTTGACGCTTTGGATTGGCTCTTTCCGCAGGGCAAATCCCCATCACTTGCACTTCCTTCCACAAGACTATCATGAACATCAGAAAATTCCGTGTTCCATGAACGCAGGGGAACAAGGTAACTATCATCCTTGACTTGGTGTTTCTCCTCCGCTCCTCATCATGGCGTTTCACATTTTCTGATATCTGGTGAAAGGTTTTGTTTATCTTTGCAATACCCCTTTCAACAGGTTTTACCACATGTGAAACTGTAAATTTCAATTCATCGACAATCTGAAATAAGCCAGCAGAAACAGCACAGATGAGTATGACAAAGAGATATAACTGAAAATTCAAAGGTTTAATACATTCAAGTGTTCATATCTTACAATTTCACCACTTCCTAGGACTACATCACAAACATTATGGGTAAACTTCATACGCCTCTCTCTCTCTCTCTCTCTCTCTCTTCATGTCGACCCAGCCGCATTCTAGTAGTGCATTCAGAGTCTCGAACCTCAGCAGGATCAGGGGGTGAAGTTGGCATAACCAAAAACATATATCTCTCTTCATCCTGACCCATGTATATCTGGCAATATCAATAGCTTTGCTTTGGACCTACAAAAGTAGGTTGTTTCTTTATGATGCTGAAGTTAGCATAACCAAATACATGTAAGTGAGCAACACTGGCAAGATCGATAACTTTGCTTTCAACTGACAGAATATCAGTCATTTCTCTGATAGGAACAAGCGTTATTGTTTGGCCAAATATATTGCGCTGACCTTTGCAAGCCTGAAAACAAATGCAAAATATATATAAAAAAATCACAATTCTATCCATAAAGATTTGTATTATTTATTACAACAGACATGACAATACCTCTCTAACATGGGCCTCTTTATCTGCGTCCACATATATATAATTTTTTAGATGATCAAGAGCAATAGCTGATCTGATTTGCAATTCAGACCCCTTATCTATGTACTTTTGCATGAGGCAAACAGCTGTTTCTCGCTCACGACCAATCTAGTGAAAATAAACCAAAGAATATTAATATGGCATGCTTCTATATCCACAGCTTTGGATCATAGCGCACATTTGACCATCCACAGCTTTGGATCTCTCACAGATGGCAAAAGAGCTTGTTGTTCAACATCAGTAGTTTCTTCATCATAATCTGTTAGCCGTCTTCTATATCTTTCCTGGATGCTTCTGGCCATAGCTTCGAGATCTTCATGATCTTCTTGGTGATGTGGCAGCATACGGCTACTATGCATCCTTCTACCATCATCTTGGGGTAGATCAGCTCCACCCTCAACAATGAAGTCTGCATGTTTCAACAGTTGTTAACATATCTACATAAATAACTGATGTATTTTACCACAAAGTAGCTGAGAGCCTCATATACATTAATAATAGACATGTTGAAGGGCAGAGATAGAGAAAAACAAACTAATCCATACAATCTGAATTTGCCTCTAAAATTATAGAAAACAATAAGAAAAGTGAAAAACGCACCATCTTCGCCTTCCTCCTCTTCATCACTATCGACCCCAGCCTCATCCTCGAAAAAATTGGAAGCAGAAACCTTCTTATACTGACGCCTGCGACCACCTCGGCCATTGAAATCCTCATCATCGTCATCCTCTTCCTCCTCGTCCTCGTCAACCTCCTCGACATCATCGTCGATGAAACCAGACCTCCGCTTCCTGCGGCCACTGCGTCCAGCGTCCTTTATTATCCTCTTCCTCCTCCTCCACTTCCTCGTCGAAGTCGGCAACCTGCTCCTCCTCGTCGTCGTCGCGGCCCATTCCTCGGTGACTCATGCTGCAAATCCTAAACTTCTGATGCAAGTGTTGCTGCAGGAGTCAATTTGGCGAACACAAGTCCCCTCGCTCAACCTATTATATAGTACAGAAGGCTTTCTTAAAACCAGTATCATTTTTATTAATTATTTTATTTAAAACTAATAAAAATATATATTTTAAAAATAAAAGAATCTATTAACTTAAAATCAACCAAAATTTAAATTTATAAATATTCATTAATTTTTGTTTAAGTTTATAAATTACTTTTCTATTTAAAAAATTTTATAATATTAATTATCATATGTCTACAATTTTTATGATAATAATATTATATTTATTTATTTTTAACACATTAAATTTTATTTAAATAAATTATTTTAAGTATTTTTATAATAATTGACTTAATAAAGTTAGTTACCATTATTTTTTATTGTCAATTTTGTATTTCTACTATAATTTTAAAAATTTATTGAACACGTAATTTTTTTTAAAATAATTTTATAAAAATAAATAAATAAACATATTTTTATATAATAATTAATAAATATTTTTTATTTTTAATAAAAGTTTGTTTGTTATTTTTATTAAATTATTTTATTTAAAAATATATTTTAAAAAATAGTTTTTATTAATTTTGTTTAATCAAATAATTTTAATTTAAAATTAAATTATAATAAATTAAAATAAGTCAAATTTTAAATTTTTAAATATTTATTAATTTTTGTTAAGTTCGTAAATTACTTTTTTTTATGAATTTGATAACATTACATATCATCTCCATATAATTTTTATGATAATAATATTAAATTTTATTTAAATAAACTATTTTAAATATTTTGATAATTTGATAACAAATTACTTAATAAATTTAATTTATTATTTTTTGTGATTCTATTATGACTTTAAAAATATTTATTGAACATTTGTTGTTATTAAGATAATTTTATAAAAATAAATAAATAAAATATAATAATATAAAAAATTAAAATATAAATTTTTTTTATGATTATAGTAAAATAAAATTATAAAATAATATGTTAACTCATATTATTTTTTTTGTAATATTTTTTTTAATGAGCATTATATGAACAGTCCATAATACTGGTTGAATAGTAATTAGTAATTGTGAATAATAACTTTTCAATCTAATTATAACTAAAGCTCTTGATACTAATTGACAATAATTATAATCTGTGTTGCCAAACTAAATGATTTTAAATTAAATTTCATAATAAAAATAAAATTATTAGGGTGCATAAAGGAATTAAAATAAAAAAATATTAATAAACTGAAAATAAAATAGAGATAAAAAATGACATCATAATCACAAAATTTATAAGTCAAGAAACAATCATTATAAGAGTTTTGACTTTTTGATAAGATAAAAAAAATTTGACTCACTCAAAAACCTAGAGTCAGACAATTGTTCAATATCAAATTATATTCAAAACTAATTAAAAGTATATTTACAAGAAGTTATATATGTATAGTGCTTGTAAATCATACTAACACAAACTCTAATAGACTTCTTGTATTAATAAACCTAAATTCAAATAAACTAATTAAAATAACAAATTTTTATCTTAAATAAAAACTTAATATAAGTAATAATTAATATTAAAATAACTAAAAAAATATAAAAATTAAATCTTAATGAAATTCATTGATGTTTAAGTTTTATAAGCATATGTAATTGACTATTTTAATCTCTGTCAATTCTAAATTAAACTCACTTTTAAATAAGACAACAACTATTTATTTTAAGTCTTCATTTATTATCTTTTTTTTTTTGCCCTTGTCATTAGTTCTTAAAGTCATTCTAATATCTTCAATATGCGTTTTTTAATTATCATCATCTCTTTTACAAGAAAAGATTGAAATGTAAATAAAGCTTCAAAGAATTCACCTATTGTCCATAATCTTCCTCTTCCAAATTGATTGTGATAGCATGTACTTTAATTATACTCAACTGTAACTTTGTATAAATCATGAGAAGCATACAGAAAAGGAAAAAAAAAAGGTGGAATTTGAGAATTTAAAATGTAGATTAAAATAAATGACGTTAACTTATCAAAATAAAAGTTCTATAAAACCCAAATTATCAACGCCAACAATGCTAGACTAAAATATAGATTTAATTAAGAGAATTGTATAGTGTCTGCGTGTGTGATCAAGGGCATACCTTACGTACAAAATTTGTCTAGACCAAATTATTTAATAATCGATGCATTAGTTTGTCTAAATCTTTATTTATATTACACTTATTTTTTTATATTTTAATTACGAAGTGTAAATTGTTTACTAACTTAACCTGTACAGCATTTTATTTCTACTTTGGATGAATCCGTCTTATAACAAATTTTGGCTAATTTATTATATAGTTAAATTTTTTTAACTCTTACAATTTATTTTAATTTTGGTTTATTCTTTATATTATAAAAAAAATTAATGTTTGATCTTCATAATTTTACAAGTTTAGATTTTTGTCGTTACAATTTTATGGTGTTTGTTTTAGTTTTTATAATTATATTTTATCGAGATTTGGGTCCATTCAGTATGTTAGATGTTAGTCCAAATGATTGTCACTTGTGAAGTATATGTTTGGGTATATTACTTAGTGGAGACCAAAACCAAAATTTTTAAAATTAAAAAAAAAAGACTTTTAAAATATAGGAAATACAACCAAAATTAATATAATATATAGAAACTAAAAATGTTTTTATCTTTCGAAATTTGTAGAGGAAAGAGTGCTTTTATAAAAGGTGTTCTCAAAATAACTTCATTTTTTAAATTTTTTACAAGGAGCAAGTTTGTTTCAATCTTGAGTCCTTGATTTTCAATCACAGCTTTAAAAAGTTTGTAATTAATTTTAAGCTTCGAACCACTAGCAGTGCTGAGTTTTTCAGAAGTTTTTTCAAAATATTTTGTAGGAATTAATCCTTCTAAAATACAATTTGAATCAGCACCTGTATCAAAGAGGACTAAAGTTTCAAGAACAAAGTCATCAATAACGATTTTGATATTAATGTAAAATTTTTGTATTTTGACCTTGTTGATCAAACACATAAAGGTTTCTTCTAGGTTACCAAAATCGACCTTTACAGAATTATTATCTTCAGGAAATTCTTCTTTCTCAATATCAGATTCATCATCTAATTGGAAAAGAATAACTTGATGAATTTGTTGTTGATCTTTGATTTCCCTGATCTCTTTCTTGAGATTGTTAATCTCAATTTGGAGATCCTGAATAATAGTAGGTTTAATGTTAGAATTCTTTTCTAGTCTTTTAAAAATATTTGTAATATCAAATTTATTTGCGGTAAAATACTCTCTCGGTTTAGGTCTATGTTCTAAAACCTCTTTGAATTTATTTAGAAATTCTTTTCTTTCTTGGGGATCAGAAATAGAACTTATTGCATCAAAAAGAAGATCTTGTTCTTTTGTCAAAACATTGATTTCTGGAGTATCATCACTGTCAGAAGAGAAAACTTGATCATCGTTTTGGATTTGGTTAACATCTTCCTCAGATTCTTTGACAGAATCTTCATCAGAGGATTCAATAAGGAGATTGTTAATTTGGTCTTCTATGGAAGGCTCAAGATTAAGACTGCTAATTTTCTTTTTTAACCTACAGTATTTGCTGATATGGCCAGGTTTTCCACAATTGTAATATGTTACGCTTGTTCTAGGTTTCTTGGGAATATTGGTGGGGATGACATTTTCCCCTTGCTTCTTGGGAATGAGTTTTCTATTGTACTTACATTTGTAAGGCTTCTTATAAGGTTCAACAGCCTCTTTCTTGGGGGCATGTTTTTTCTTTTTGGTGGAGCAAGATGGAAGACAGGCTTAATGGCTACTTGAACACATCCTATGTGGAGGTATTTGTATTTACGCTTGTGCTCATTGATGGAAGATTTGGACAGGAGATGAAATTCTTCTCCTAGGTCTTTTCCTAAAGGAATGTTATTTTCAACAGTCTTAATAATGTAATCAAAATTATTTTTCTTGGAATGTTCTTCAGGAACATATAATGTATCATGAGGGATTTCTGGAATGGTCCAGTCATCCATGCTTTGGTTGATCTCTTTGAAGCGAACTTCTTCGTCGAAGAGGTTATGTTTGTGTGTAATCTCAAGAGTTTGTTTCTCCTGTTCATTAAAAAGATTGTTTTTGGTTGAAGAGGAAAAAGATGAACTAGAGACAGAACGAAAA